GGGCGGGGAGGGGGGGGCCGAGGCCAGGGGCAGCCTCCGCTCAAAGCCTGCAGGCCTGACGACGGGCTGAGCGCTGGAGGTGGAGGAGCGGGGCAGCGGGGAGCGTGTGGCTTAGCACAGTCTCTCTGCCTCCCCCAGATGATCCAGTTTGTATCTTCAAGCACCAGCCTCAGCCACCGCACTCAGTGCTGAAGTTTCTGCAGGACGTCTTTGCCAGCAAGGATACGGCCAGCATCTTCTACCACACGGACATGATGGTCCTGATAGACATCCTGGTGCGACAGATTGCTGATCTCTCCCCAGGAGACAAGGTGCTCGCAGTAACCCATAGGCACTGGGGAAGGGAGCACAGTCCCAAAACAATGGTGTTTCTCCTGGACCTCCGAGAGGCCTGCTGGTGCAGGCAGGAGTGGAGTCCTGGGGTGGAAACAACATTTTTGGGTGCTCAGATCAACCCTGGGGGCTGAGGAGGAAGCGGGGATTTATCCTGCCCAGCACACAGCAGTAGAAGGGCACATTTGAAGAAAGATCTGCCAGGCTTCTTGTGGTCTGCACCGTTCTGTCCAGGGACCTCTGGGAACAGGGACCCTCTGTGAGTAGCAGAGGAGGGATCTCTCTGTTTTGGTATTGCAAGAGGCAGGGGATGTGCACATGTTTGAGAGCGGGTGGAGAGCAGCACTGGGTTGCTGTGGGAAAAGCCGAATTTTCCGTAGCTGCTAATGAGCCTTAAGGAAAAGCAGGTGCCTCTGGAGTCGTGCTCTGGCTGGTGGTGCAGCAGCAGCTGTTCCTGCGCTCATGCTGTAATGGAGGCTGGCATGCTTGTTTATCTCATTTTAAATCTTTCATTGTGCTCTGTGTTTTGTCTCCCCTCCCACTTGGCAGCTGAGGATGGAGTATCTGTCTCTGATGCACGCCATCATCCGCTCCACGCCCTATCTGCAGCACCAGCACCGCCTCTCCGACCTGCAGGGCATCCTGCAGCGCATCCTGGGCGAGGAGGAGGAGAGCCAGCAGTGCCAGATGGACAAACTGATCATCTTGGAGATTTATAAGGAGTTCCCAGAAATCTCTCCCGGTACCAGCTAACCGCCCCTCAGCTTGGACTGGAGTTTGAACCACTTGGATCGATGATGTCTCCTATTGACACTTTCTCCCCATTCCCTCCCAGTACAGCTCATACCTTATACCCCTCCACGCGAGGCCTAAGGCTGGGACAGCCTTCACCGGCCCTTCAGAGACGCCAGCAGCAGGCAGGGCGTGCGGTGCCCGGGGGTGGTCGGAGTGGGGTGGGCGCTGGCGTGGTTTGCCTGCCGGCCTCGGGCGGGAGGTACCTGGGCAGCTGGTGTTAGCGGGAAGGGCAGAGAGCTTGCGGGGGACTTGGCAGCCAGGGCAGGGGCTGCGGTTCGCTGCGCTGGTGTCCCGAGGTCTCGAAGAGAAAGGCCTTTGCCTTAGAGTACCACTACTTGTCCATGTGCATCTCTCCCTGCAGTGACCAAGTGGAGTCTGCTGGTGCTTGGAAGAAGCTTTCGTAACATCTGTTCTGTTTTCTGCTGCTAGTGCCACTGTGCTGCAGCCCTGCCAAGGGGGGGTAGCTCGCTCGCAGTCCAACGCCTCGTCTAGTGAGCCTTTCACTCCCTCCTGGCCCTCAGCTTTGCCTCTGGGTAGCAGCCCACCTAGGGTCATAGAGGTCTTACCCCAGCAGCTGCTTTTTTCAATCTGCTTTCTATAGTGACGTTTCAATCTGAATTTCTTGCACACTGTGGCAGCCTAGAAGTAACAACCCCATGAGTGACACTGCCCTTAGGAAGCCTTTGGCCCGGACACAGCGCAAAGAAGTGTCCTGCCAAGCGAGAGCTGCCGCTTTCCGCCTCTCGCAGCGCTGCCCCGGGGCCCCGAGCAGAGGGGCTGTGCGTGGGCAGGCGCGCTCTGTTCGTGAAGCGTGTGGATTTCTTGCCTTGAGCTTCATAGTAGCTCTGCCTCGCTGCCCTCCCTCTCCACGTGGCAGCACTCGAGGCAGCTGGAGCCTGGTGTCCAGTAGCTGTTTGTGACTATGCACGAGTGTGGGGAACCCTTATTTATATTTCCTCTAGGTTTCTAGCAAACGGGATTAACCTGCTGCCCTGTTACAGACAGTCACACACGCTAACGTGGGTCTCTTAGATATTCTTGTGTGCAGTCTGGTCGCTCCCTGTCCCCAGCTCTTCCTTTGCAGTATCCAGTGTAGGAGCTATTGGGAAGTGGAACTGGAAACACTGGGCACTGTATTTTGGGTTTGTTTTTTTTCCCCTAGCTTGGGGCGATGACAGAGTCCTGCTCTGCAGGCCTGGCCTCTGGGCACTGGGGCAGTGCTGCTCAGGAGGGGGTTGGCGTGGCAGCCAAGGGGAGCGAGGACCTCCTGAAGTCAGCCTGAGAATGCCCAAGCTTAATAACCACCCTCGTAGAGAAACCTATTTTTCCCCTGTAAAAATGTATGAATGTCAAAAGGGATCCTGTATTTTCTTAAACACTAAGTGTAACATGCAGAGGAATAAAAATGTCTTAAACTGGACTTCTGTGAACGTATCCCTGCCTGCCCCATCCTGTTGTGGGGGGACCGAAGGGGTGGGGACGGCTCAGGTGCCTGCTGCCCGCTACGGCAAAGCAGCGGGTGCTGATCTTCAAATGGGAGCAAGACAGTCGTTTTCCCACACCCAGCTTCTTGCTCTGTATTTTCCTACCATGTTGCTGGCTGACAAGGAGCGGCGGAGGGCAGCAGCCCTTGCTGGGGGCACAGCCATCACCCCCGTGGGCCTGCCCAGCATCGCTGCTCCAGATGAAGGGTTGGGCAGAGCTGGACTCAGCACTTCGCTCCCCGCAAGGCACACGCAGCTTCAGCTGGCTCCCAGCAGAGCTGCCGAGGCAGCAAGGCCGCGTGGCGAGGGTTTAACGGTCTGTATCGAGTGCTAATGAGTCGCGCTTTGGCTGCAGATGTCTGTTTCCAAACCTTGGCTCTGTGCACGCTGCTTCGGGGGTGCCTCGGGTGGCAGGGGGTGCGTGTGGTGGGAGGGCAGTGGGCGCTTGGCAAAGCACCGAGTTGGCAGCAGGGACGCTGGTCTCTGCTCCTGGCTTGGGCTTGGTTTTGTCTCGTGCCCCGCTGCAGTGGTGGGATGTTCCTCTGGCACTCGCCCTCACCGATGCAGCCCAGGCTTTGCTGTGCCAGAGGAGGAGGCCCAGAGCCCAGCCGAGGCCCAGAAGCGGGCAGGACCCATAGCTCTGCTAGGCAGGAGCAGAGCCTGGGGGTCCCGGGGGAGAGCTGCACCCGCCGCCTAGCAAAGGCCTTCGCACATCGCAGGGAATCAAACCCCAGCGTGGGAACTCGTTATCCCCAAGCCCGCTCGGCGGTTCCTGCTCTGTGCAGGGGTGACGGGCGCAGATAACACGCATTTCCATTAGCCCTAATGGGCCGCCATTAGCGTGGTGTCTCCTCGTGCTGGTGTGTTTTTATTGTGGGGGGTGCTGGGGGGCTGGCGCAGGGGGAGCAATGTGCTGCCTGTGACCTGCGCCGCTGCTTCGTTGTCTGGAATGATTCAATTACAACTATTTTGTGGCAGCAATACCCCGATGATTTTCTCCTCCTCCTCTGAGCTGTCAGCTGGGTAATTACAACAAATAAACTTGAAAGCCTTCATAATTTTTTAAAAGCATCACCTCTCTCCTGACTGGGTTTCTTGACGGCAGTCCCCAGTTTGAGCGGGTGCGATGTATAACCCAGCCAGCGGCAGGGGGTCGTGCGAAGCTGGCACATCCCTGCTGCACCCGGGTGCTGCTCTGCCCTTTATTAGTCGGGGTTTATTGGGTGAGCTGTGCGCGGGGCTGGGGCTGCTGGGCCGGTCAGCGTTCCCTGACAGCACCGGGAGGGCTTGGGTGGGTGCGTGGGAGCTTGGAGGAGGAGAACATAAATCCCCACAGGGCTCCGCACGCGCATGGCTGTGGCCCCGTCACTGCTGGTGCTGGCCTGGCCAAGCCAGAGGCGTTGTGTGGTGGCTGAGGAGTTAATCACAGCAGCTCACCCATGTTCAGGAATCCTGCGGAGTTTATAAATTAATGCGCCGTCCTCTCCAGAGGCTTAGAAATCCACACCCACCAGGTATCGGCCCTTAGCGGTGTGTAAGCACCATGGGAGCTTCTCTCCAGCTTGTGCCGAGCCCGGCTACCACCACTTCGCTTGGTATTTCCCATGGTGTTCCTGAGGCACGTGCTCAGCCCAGGCACCAACCGGGGCAAGAACGAGCCCTGCCCGCTCTGCCCACCCTGCCGCTGCCCAGGTGGTGGCCAGTCCTTGGCTCCTGCGCGGGTGACGGTGGTGGGAGGCAGGCACCGTCCATGAAGAAGCCGCCAGGCAGTTTGGGAACCCTCCAGGCACGTTGCAGACCCTGCTCCGTCTTCGCTTGGTTTCCACCCAGGGAGTGGGAGCTTGCTTGCAGTCAAACTCCAAACCAGCGGGCAGCACGTGCTCTCCCCACCCCCTCGTTTACACTAACCATAATTGATAGGGGACCATCTGTCACCATCGGAGGAACCGAAGCCGGGCGAGAGCCGGTGGTGGTCATGGTTGGTGGAGGAGCACAGGAACACGGTCTCTCAAGCAGAGGCAAAGTGTTGGCGATGCCAGGATTCAGCACTGCGGCAGCAGCGTGTGGGATACCACAGCCCCGTCCG